TTATTTATATCATGTTTGATATGAATTAAATAAAATTTTTCACTGGAAATATAAAACAATATTTGTTAAAAAAAGAAAAAAAAAATTCAAATACAAAATAAGATAACCTTGATATCCAAATTATGTTAAATTATAGACTCCATATTAGATCCAGAACTACTAATGAATGCCATTGTTTTGCCGAAATTTTTCATTACATTTTTTTAGCTTTAATTAAATCTTGGTTTTTCAAAAAAAAAAAAAAAAAAAAAAAAATCCACATTGTTTGCCGAGACCGCCTGATCACGTACCAGCTCTGAAGACCAGAACTTAGAAATTTAAGGGGATCCCAGTAAGTACAAATGATGTTTAAACGGGAAACCAAATCATTGTTACATTTTTAACGAGAGTCATTTGTTTATTCCAAAGGATTCATTTTTATGTAGCTCCCAACTGCCCACCCATCTTCACTTCAGTTTACTTCATCAACAATCTTATCACCTTCTGAGACCAAAAAAAAATTCAACATAACAGAGTGAATGGTCACAAATACCAGCTAAGTGAAGTTGAACTGTGTCCATCATCATGATACCAGCAATGAGCTATGCATTAACTAGTGAGGAGTGACATGAAGGAACTTGAGGACCAACACAGGGCATGGGGTTAATGGTTGTGTTGACCAGGATAGACTCTTGCGGCTACATTTTCAGAGCCATAAATTGTTGAAAATTTTGATTAATCTACTCATACTGACAGTATTCTTTATCAGTTTAATAATTGTTGCTATTTTATAGAGTAAAGAAATTATTTGGATACCATGAAATAAATAGTAAAGGGCCCTCCCTAACTGACCTAAAAATAATTCCAGTTTTAAAAAAAAAAAAAAAAAAAAAAAAAAATTTTATAAATAAGTGCTGAAATATCCATTAAAAATCTGAAAAGTCAATTACTTTTATGACATTAGTAGCAAAAAGGAATAAAAAAGTAAATGTAAATTAACAATCAATTTCTTTATCAATTTTGTTCCAGTTTACTTTTGTATAGAAATGATTAAAATTATCAAAAATGTTTCTTCATTATGGTGTGTTTGCTCTTTCATATTTTGATTTGTAGTGTAAAATTTTAAGAGTAGGGTGCAGGGTTAAAAAGAAATAATTATTTGACCTTTGAACGTGTGGGCAATCAAGGACATACTCCACTAGGGAAGAAATATATTTTTGTAATATTTTAAGCAAAAAGTAATATTGTTACAAAAAATTTACTACTTTTCCTTTTGAAGCAAATATCATGGGCATATATTGTATTTTTCACATTTATCGGCATCAATCTAATTAGCTAACTGAAATAGGAAGAAGAAAAAAAAAAAAAAAAAGAAGATTTTTAACCAAGATTTTAAACATGTTAGAAAGAATTAAAAAATTTTTTTTAAATAATTAAAAAACACCTTGGTCTTTCCTCTTCTTTTGACGATAAAACTGTTTTTATTAAGGTTTGGGGTAAATTTTGGCTTTGTTCAGACTTCTTGTTGGTCATTCGTCCACCATTACTGCCATCAGTATTACTCCTTCACTGCATGGTACCTATGCAGGCGTAATCAGAAAATTTGGCCTATTTACTTCTTTTACAGACTTTCCTTGCAGAAAATCACTACACACTACCGTAAAGAAATGTAAAATTTTTTTTTGGTAGGTTTAGTTTTATTTATAACAAAAACGAATTAATAATACAATAAAACCTTTTTTTACTATTTCGAATAGCAATGACAAATTAAAAGAACAAATTAAAGAATAAAAATAAAGCATTTTTTATATTGTAAAATTGAAAATGAAACCAATTAATACACAAACTTGGGAAAGTAGAAGGGTTGATTGTTTCATTTGATTTTAAATTGTCCCCCTTTTCTACACAGAAAACCCCACCCCTGACCTTAACAACTAACCCTAAAAAGTTAATCTTTAGGGTTAGATGTAAAGGTTAGGGGTGGGGTTTTCTGTGTAGAAAAGGGGACAAATTAAAAAATAAAAAACATTAAATAATTTATCAAGTTTGTGCATTCATTTTTTTTTTTTATTTTCAATTTTACAATATAAAAAAAATGCTTTATTTTTATTATTTATTACATTTCTTTACGGTAGTGCGTAGTGATTTTCTGCAAGGAAAGTCTGTAAAAGAAGTAAATAGGCCAAAGGCAGCGAATGAGGATTCATGATGACAGTAAGGTTTCTTCATAATTTAATTGTTAATTCGAGTTCAGCATGTACATTTGCACAGAATTATGACGATTTTGGAAAGATTTGAAGGGATATTAGCGCTCGGGAAACAAAATAGAAATTTACCATATAAGCGCATTTTAAAATAACATCCGCGAAAATTGCGCAGTAATCAACACGAGTAAGATACGAAAAGCTGTAAAAAGGCCGTTAATTAACTAAGCTAAATGTAAACAACGCCAGTAATGGCGGCCGGACAACGCGAAAGAGATCGAACTTACATTGACGATAAATCGTAAAAAACGGTAATTGAGCGCAATGTTTTAAAGGCGATTTAATACCAGAATGATACATTCTCATTACCGGGGACTCTTGGTGCTTGTACTGCAAATTAACAAAAGCAAAATTGATTTCAATTTCATTTTCGATGAATAATTAATTTTTTAAAAACTCGTTTTCATTTTATGAACTTTTAAAAAAAAAAAAAATTTTTTTTTTAAATCTCGTAAAATTTTGTCTTAATTTATATTAGTCAAGGGATAAATGTTATATTGTGTAGTGACACTTAAATAGAAAAGCTCACAATTCATCGATTCCAAAGTAAAAAGAATTTTGAATTTATTGTGTATAAACGTGTCGATTTTTGTAAATACGATTGTCCAAACGCGACATTAGAAAATAAGAGGGTTAACTAGTTTTCTAACATTTCCTCAACAAGCGTCTTCGTAATTTAAAACTCAATAAAATATTGGATTGCTTAGAATATTTTCTTAAATTTGTAAGATTACTACTGAGTAGTAAAATATAAAAATTTGTTCACATTTACAGTTATGCTTCCCATAAAAATACAGGCCTCTGTTTAAAAATAAGATGCTTTTTTTCTGTGATATTTTAAACTGGAAGTAATATTTGTTTCAAATCAGATTAATCTTTTAATTTTATTTCAGCTAATGTTCAAGTAAAGTTTCTAAAGAAGAGTATATTTTTGAAAGATTTTTTTAATGAAGTGAATTCCTTGTGCCGATTGATAGCATTTATCAATATGGACAATTTTTAATTTAAACTTTTTTTTTTTTTTTTTCGGATTTTAAAATTTTCTACAAAAAACAATTGATAACGAAAGAGTTAAAGACTTGCAGTCACAATTTTTTTTTTTTTCCATAGAAATATTCTAAGTTGCAAGATTTAAAACAATATTCACACCCGAAAATAATATCGAACTTTTACAATTAGTTTGAGTGACAATTCAATATCTTAAAAAAAAAAAGTCGCGATCACACTGAAAAATTACAAAAATAAATACCGAAATATTTTTCGAATCTGAATGAGATGTTTAAAAGAATGCAAACACTAAATTAAAATCATTTACAAAAATATTGTCTTTGTAACAGTTTACTGTCTGAACTGAACTACTTCCCCCAAAAAATGTGGAGGAGTGCTTCGTAGTACCGAGAATAATACCCCCCACCTCATAATTTATTCTTCTCAGAGGAAGAACTTTAGAGACATTCACTTTTTTTTTTAACACTACAGTACACAATGGCTTCATTTTTTTCTGGATTTAAATTAACGGAGGGATAATTAAAAAATATATTGTAAATAAGTGAACTGAAGTGGGTGATTGAACTTGATTCAATTGGCTAAAGCTGTCTGCTCTGCATAAACAAAACAGCCAAAAAATTATGAAAAAAAAAAAAAAAAAAAACCGTAAAAAAATTCCTAACCGCAATATTTTAAAAATTGCGAGAAAAAAATTTCTTGCTTTTGGCAGGTTAAAAAAAAAAAAAAAAAAAAAAAATGGTTACAGACATTATTTATTGAAAGCATTAGTGAATTTTCTTCCAAAAATATTAAAATTACACGTTTATAAAAAATAAAATGTACTTCTAGCACACATATCTAAGTTAAAACCTTGTGTATCTTATTTTCTGAACACATTTTTCAAAAGTGCAATTATAGAAATTTTTTTTTATAACTGATCAATGATTGATAGTGAACTGAAATGAGAAGATAATTTTACGTACAAGTCTTTTTCAGTTTCAACAAAAAAATTTTAAATTATTCAGGTTTTTCTTTTATCTCTCTTTCCTAAACTTGCGTAAAGAACGAGTGTAATTCAATGTCTTTAAAATTTCCAGGAATAGCTAGTGGTAAAAAAAGACAAAAAAAAACTACTTTCTCATCCACTGGTGGAAAATAAATGAACTTTGTAAAAGAAAAAAATGCACTTCAAAAAAGATTTTAGTCTCGAAACTTGCAGAAAAAAGTTAACTTCTAAATTTGAACAATTTTTGAATGAAGGAATTTTAAAATTCGTGTTAATTTTATTCAGTTGTTTAGAACAAAATGTGTTTTTGTTTAAAAATACTTTTCAGAAAAGCACATTTGACACTTAAGAATCGTTAGAAATACTAAGACAAGAATGTTTTTAAATATACGTATTGCGAATGTAAAACGCTGATCTCATTTACTTTCTAATGAAACAGATTTCACGTTTTAATTTTAACCACGAGCAAGCCACTTTTTGGAAAGAATGCTTTTGAAATAAAAAAAAGCAGTATTTTTGGCAATATAGAACATTATATGTCAATAGAAATGAAAAATGTAGTGTTATTGCAAAAAAAAAAAGAAGAAAAGAATTTAAAGTGGAAAATTATAAGAGTCAAGCAAGAGACTTGAGGTAGCAGGGGAAGAAAAGTAAAAGCTGACACTGGCATGAACGACGGAGACCAAAAGAAAATTAGAACATAATGATAAATATACATATTTATTTGATATCCGATTTCTATAGCAACTCTGGAAAGTACTTACCGGTTTGAAGAGGCTGACCAAAAAATAAACAAGTGAACAGACGAATATTACGGCTAAAACCCAACGTTTCCTCAGAAGGCGAGAAGTAAACATTAGGCCGACAGAACTTAATGCTCATGTGACGTCAAAATAAAACAACATTCACAACCACACTTTCGTATCCGACCATATGTGTTTTATTTGTAGACTTCCCAAAAGTCTAATTATTTCAAAATACTTTTAAGAGTTGTTCAGGTTTTCAAAAAGGTATACTGGAAAAATTGAATGTTTTTATAAATAATATATTTTTGTTTTTCATGGGTAAAATTATTGCAACCAATATTTGTTATCATTTTTGAATTGTTTGTTTTTAACAGCCAGAACTTTCAAATTTGCACATTCACGTGAACTATCGTTGAAACAATTTTATCAAATTTCGAATGTGGATCGTTTAAAATGAATTTATTTACCCAGCTTTAGTTTAAAGAAAAGAAAATGGAATGGAATGGCGCTTACCTCGTGGAGGGGGACGGGGAAAGAAGCGGCGCAGACATCGGTTTCTTTTATCGAAAGTTATGCGGGAGGAGAGAATTATGGAAAAGCAGCAGAAAAAGCTATAAAGCTCCACCGAAAATAGAAGTAGACGTCTTTCTTCTTCGGCGTGGGGGTGGGGTATGCCTTACACAAGCCTCTAGTGGCTCGTTGGCGCCGCCAACGTTCCTCTGGTGGCAGCCACCGGTGGACTTCTAACAGTCCGCCAGTGAAAACATTGCCGAGACGAACACAGACTCGACAGCGAGCCACCAGCAGTAAACGCTAGTGGCATGCCACCATGTGGCAGATTGGTGGCTTGTCTGTAGGGGGAGAGAGAGAAAGTTTTTTTTTTCTAATCACAAGCTTTCGGCACTATGGAGTCTGGAATGGTGAGACTGGGTAGAGACGTGATTTCCCCGTTTAGCAGAGAATGTGATATAGTCGCGTAGATAAAGAAGGTGAAATTGGTCGTCAAGTACCTGACCTTGCTAGTTTCCTTCCACTTTTTCTGCAAGGAGATGTGTAGTGGAAAGTTTTTTTTAGTGTTTACCTTTTATTTAAATGGTGTCGACGGCCCAAATCAATCCATGCAATTTTTACTCTACGAATATGTTAAGCAAAATGCAAAAACAAGAGAAAATAGCAAGAAACGTTTGTGACAAAAGACAAACATTTGAATAACAAGTAATTTTCAATATATTTTTGTCATGAAAATATTTTACAAAAATGTAGTGTTTTTTTTTTAGGTAAAATCTTGTTTGATTAATTTATGTTGAACTCAAGTTAGGGGAAAGATTAAATTTTGTTAATGAGTTCTGATTTGAAAGGATGTTTGTTAGAATCTCTTATTGAAGATTCTGTAAATTAATTGCAAGAGAAAACTTTACATTTAAGAATTTACTGTCCATGTAAGTATTAAATGTTTGTAAAGTTGAATGCAATTTTGTGATCAAAAGTTATCTACTTTTGATTGTTTTGTGTAATACAATGTTCTCGAATGTTGAGAAATAAAGTTGATTTGTAAGCAGAAATTTGTTTAACTTCTGCGTAAGGAATTTGGTGAGTGAATGGGAATAGAGTTCTCTGGTGAGTTTTGGTGAGTGAGTGTGAATATCGTTAAGTTGTATAATGTTCGTATGAACGAAAAACTTAAGATTGTGTGACGTGAAGTTTAGTTGCAATTCGCTTGATGTCACAATTCTCACGATATTTATTTGTACTATGATACAGAATGTGACACAAGGCCAAAATTGGGTTGGGGGTAAAGGACGGTCTTCATCTATCTTAACTTTAAACTAAGTTAGCCACAAACACTGACCCAAATATACACACAATACTAACACCAAAACAATACATTCTTACCTACCTTTCTTATTACATCCACCATAATAACTCATTGTTTCTATGAAAATCCTAAATAGTCCCTATATGTACAATTCATTGTCTATGGGGGAGGGGAATAAAACAACAATTTAAAAAAAATCCCTAATGAGTATGTACAATATGAATATAATCTATTTACAAGAAACTAAACAAAATCGTGTTAGTAATACCCCCCAATCCTTAAATGTGGCAGAAACATCAGGTTAACAGGATACAAATCGGCAGTCTGGATTTTACAATAGTGAACAAAACATTCATTCGACCCAAGCCCTACGAATCAGACACGAACGAGAGATGCCTCATCAACAAATGGGAAAACACACACGTGAAGTCCAAAAGGCCCCCTGCTTCATCAACCAGATAACTCAATCACTAACCATCCTGATTAACGGACTCTCAGAATAAAACTAAACAAAATGGACAGAAAAAACGGGGACGATTGGAGAGGCCTAATTCTGAGGCCCATACAAAAGGCATTCAAACACACCTAAAACTAGCCTAATTCCTGCAGGATGGACAATATCCACACTTCTCAGGGATCAAAGTTCATACGGGCGTCTTCCTTCCAGAAGGCGCAAGATTCATCCGACCTTTCGCGACAAATTCGATCTAGGAACCGCGATGCGAAGCATATATTGACGAATAATGCTGATGCTTAAAGACCGTCTGGATGAAGGCAACAGATCTCCCATAGAGATGCCCCCTGACGCGTCGCCTTGCCTCTCCACAAGAATAAGAACAAGAGCCTTACTAATGACATTAATTCGGCATACACGGAAATGGAAGCACAGAGAGTCGGTAAAGGAGAATTGGATTGAAGGACAAACTTCGCCCTTCCCTTCAAGGACAGATTCCTCCGAGACCACAATTAACTTGCGTTCTCGACCTTCCGAGTCCTACCTCCGACCAATTCATATCCAGCTGGACCAGGAACGAACCAGACCGAATATCTTGACCGGCCCATCCGTCCAGAGGAAAGGTCCGGGAAAAGAAACTCCTTCCACGCACCCAACCGCAAGCCAACAGACTTATCGCGGTTGATCTTGGCCCCTTGTCACCATCTCATAACAACTGATTTCTTTGCTGACTTTCGTCAATCTCGGCTCTGCTCGACACAAGAACCGAAACGTCATCAGCATAGGCAGAATACCTGGCCGAGTTGGTAGAACCAGGTAGGGAAATTCCGCGTAGGACCGGATTCGCCTTTAACTTGCGAAGGAAAGGTTCCAACGCAAGAACATAAAGCATAGGCGAAAGCGGACAACCTTGACGAATGGAACGAGACAATACGAAAGGTTCCGATCTTACCCCATTCACTTCCACCAGCGCACCGGAAGTCGCATACAGAAGTCGGATACAGGTGCGAAATCCAGGCTGAAGCCGGCCGCCGAAAAAACAGCCTCCAGGAATCGATGGTCAACCCTATCGAAGCTCTTGAACTGATCTAAATTGATCAGCGAGGCTTCACTGTCGACTTTCTCGATGATCAAGCGGACCATATGAAGGTTGTCCTGAATAGTCCTGCCCTTCACAGCACAAGTCTGTCCGGAGTTAATCAGACCAGAGAGGACAAGCTGCAAACAGTTGGCTAAGATCTTTGTCAAAATCTTTAACTCTGTATTTAACATGGTTAAACGGCGAAAGTTATCTAAACCATCCCCACCATTCTTGTCCTTGCGTAGCAACTTCGTCTGGTGAAGCGTTGGGGTATAGACCCCTGCTTCATCCAGTTGTAAATCAGTTCTAGCAAAGAAACAAAAACGGTCGACTGCCTCAAGTAAACTTCGTAGGGAAGAGCATCTAATCCCGGAGATTTATCCAGGTCAACCTGCTTCAGCCCTTCCCAGATGTCTGACTCTATGATGGGACACTCGTACCCAGCCGCTTCAGCTGCCTCAAGGCAGGGAAAGACAGCTAAATCGGCGTCGAACTGAGCAGAACTCAGACCAGGCTCCCTGGAAAAAGTTCCTGAAAGTAATCCCGAAAAGCCTCACATATGCCCGCGTTTGTAGTCACGGTCCGCTTATCCGGCAATGTGACGCACGCGATATGCCGCCGAGATGCATTCCTACTTTCCTCTGCACGCAATTCAGCGGCCATATTCGTCGCCTCAGAGGACATTCTTTTTAACCTAGCCCTAACTACCAGAGCTTGATCTTTCTTGATAAGCAAGGAGGCCTTAGCTAAAGCTATTTCCCCACTATCACGGGATTTAATTGCCCGATCTATCTTTTGCTCACAAGCCGTTTGCGTCGCTAATCTATCTTAGATTGTGTCGACAACTAAAATCGGCAGCAAACGTTCTATTTTTAGATTTTAATTTGTCCCACAGGCGTTCTCAACCACAGCCCCCGTCAATTCCTTCCGTATCATTAGTAACAGCTGGTCCCGGAAATCCAGCTCACCAAATAATGAGCAGTTTAATTTCCAGAAGCCAGCCATCCTAACATTAGGCTTATCTAAGTTTACACGGACCCGGACAAGCCTATGATCCGAATAAACTATGTAATGGAAACTTGGACACCCTAAGAGCCCTACATCGACTCTCTTAACTAAAACTCGGTCGAGGTAGCTAGAACGCACCTCTGCAGCCGAGCCGCCACTATTAGTCCAAGTCCACACCACTTCGGGGGGGGGGTCATTCCGGTATTTATCGACAAGATCAAATTTGTCGATAAAGTCCCGAAATGGTTTCATTTCCCAGTTGTTAGTACCCGAATTTGACCATATACGATCTATGTCGGGGTCAAGGACGGCATTCCAATCCCCTTCTAAAACTGCCCGACGTGACGTCACCAAATACGGCCCGATCTGCCGAAACAAAGCAGGCCGCTCAGCATGGACATTGGGCGCATAAACCCCAATGAGACTTAGAGCCCTATTCTTTATGGTAACATCCAGCACGCAATGTCTGCCCGCCGGATCTGCGAAGACAAGAGCACACGCAGCCTTCATAGACTTGCTTACCCCTCGAGCGTCCATCAAAACATGCTGAATAGAGGGAAAAACCCCTCAACAGAATGCCTTCATAATCGCGAGAAGAAAAACAGCTCTCTTGCACACAACATATATTCACCCCGAGACGCTGAAGGTCACGAGAGAGCCTCGCCCTGCGAGACTCCGACCTCAGGCCTCGGGCATTCAGACTTGCTAACCAGAGAGACATTTATCAAACCGATTAGGGTTGCCCTCCTGCA